TTTGCTGGGCTCAATGTACGGATGCGTCACATGGCTTGATTCATAGTGAAACGTTTATAGTTTAGAAGTACACTTTTAGGACATCAAGTCCCCTCTGGAGAACTACAGCCTTTGTGGCTACGAAGAATAAACAGAAATGGACAAATTCTTGTGGACGACGACGTTCAACACACTCAATCAACGAAAGTTGGGAGAATAATGGGGTACAAAACTCTACCAAAATTGTGAAATACGGGATACGAAAGTTGATATTAGTTTTTGTGCCCGTTGTCCTCCTGCCAAACAGCTGCCACTTCGATAACAATCGTACATTTCGACAACTACTCGCTCGAAAAATCTCTAGGAGCCAAGACGTTGGAAAAAGTCCTTTCAAAAGATTTCTGAGTTCTAGAAAACTAAAGTTCTACCATATAATCAAACAAACTGTTTCGCATCTTCTGAACTAACGATGGACTCCAATGATTGTCAGTTTGTTCGATAAACTTTACTTTGAATTTAAATAGATATATTTGAAATTGAACGCGGAAATCTGTCATTAATTTCCAAGCAGACTGAGACCGCCCGCCAAGTGTCGATTTCTACGAATAATTAGCATTAATGGTCGCCATTGATTCCTGTGTAACAAATCAACAAATCAGCACCGGTGGAGAACAATGAGACATCGGTTAGACACCCGTGGTTGAACGGCTTTGTTTGACGAAAGAACATAAGCTGATCATCTCCTTTCATTGGTGAGCCATACTGGTCAAATTTCTCATTAGAATTACGACTAATGAAAGAATCGAAAAAAAAACTCGCCGCACACCACTCCGCGATCGTCGTCACGACCTCTAGTGGACAGCGGCTAGACGGTTCTGTCACACTTACCTGTGAGCATGGGTGGTTACGATAAGTGTCGGCATTCAACTGAGGAGAAGGATGGAGCAGGGACGAGAATATGGGCAGAGGTTATTGGGTGTTTCTCACCTTTCGTCTGTCATATTGCGTAAAGCGATTGTGAAAATGTGCCGCTCTCTACACAAAGGTGTCTACGATTACGACATATCGCATAAGTGTTAAATAATCAACAATGCTCATCGACAATTGCGACGACGACGACGATTTCTCGGTCAACGTCGTCGTAAAGACGCTCGACATACAGAGCGGATTTCTCATCGTTGTCGTGGAATATGCTAATATTGGTAATAATCGTCACAGAAAAGCGGTTTGAACGGCAAGCGATTCAGAAGGCAAATACGAAAAAGAAATAGTTGAAAATCTAGATGATCGTTAGATCTCCTTAAAACCACTGAGTTAAGCACTAAGCACTTACGCCAGGTGCTCGTCTTTTAGAAGCTCCAACTTATGATATTTTCCGCAGATTGTACCCCCGAATAGCTAGCTGATTTTCCTTTAGTTTTGGTTTCTCCTGTTTTTATCCCTTTCTATCTCGTCCAGCTCTCTACGTCTTTTCAAAGCAAACAATACACCCTTTCTACTCATCAACTAATTTCTTGATAATGCGGAGCTAACTCGGCATAGTCGATCGATATTGCTTCATTTTTATCAATATCAGAAAGGCGATTCTCACGACGAAAAGTCAGAGTATTCGAAATGAATGGGTAGATTCTGTGGATGTTGGCAAGCAAATGGAATATTCAAATCGGTCTCCAGTGCGGTAAGGATTGCGCTTCGCGTTTGCACGGCGGTGTTCGCCCCGATGCTCTTGGCCTGCGCTTTGTTTTGTTCCACACATCTCTTGACGCGGATAATTAACAACGAATGGACAATTGACGAAGAGCAAGAGGAATTTCAGGTCCACGCTTGACGTTAGTCACAGCCAAGTTGGCCGCTATGGCCGCTGAACCATGTTTCTAATGCCAACCACTTCACACATAGATTGAAGATAATCGAAGTGCACTCAAGCACTATACTTACCGTGTTTTCTTGCTTTAAATTCAAAATTCGCAATTCTACATAATAAACTTTTACATCTGGAAGAGACGTGTGTAATGCTGTAGTCGTAGATGGCCATTCAATGCACATGGTCGTCGGTTCGATTTCGAACATTTGCTAACCAAGACTCCCATCACTCTGGAATCGGGGATTTGCCACCAGACTTCTTTAAGAGAACAAAAAAAAACCCTAACTTGATACATCGGTAGGCCATGTTAAATTACTGTATGGGACAAATATGCATTCAATCATCTCTACGGTGCTCAGTGGCGTCGAATAGACGGCGCACTGCTAAGAGATTCATCAATGTCGAAAACCTTCGTCCTCTATGGGAAGGTCAGACGTCGAAGTTCACGAAAAAGAAATGGAGACACCTAAAAGAAAAACGAGCACGAAGGAGTAGCAAAAATCTTCATAGAACAGGAAAACGAAAATGAAGCGTGTTGCGAAGCGCTCACAAACATATTTAAAAGTATCTATAAGGCTTCCAGACTACGTTTATATCTATTTTTTTCGTTATTCGCCTTGTTAAATCTTGAAGATACTTATACTGCTTTACTGACCAATCGATAAGTGTTCTAATGATGGCATTTCCTGCATTTCTAGGTCGCTGTCGGGCCGGAACGAATTCTGTTAGCCTTGTAAGTGGTTAAGAAACCCCTTTTGGTCCACTTTTTTCCTAAAGCCAGGTTTGATCACAAAGTTACAGAATCGCGAATAAAAAATACAATGCGTGGTAACGTCATTTATTGGCGTTGTATACTCAGTTGGTCAGCCAATGAAATCGTGGATGTAGAGGAAGTCTATCTGCTTTGCATAAAGAGTTATAGGGAATAAGTCTGGTTGTCAAAGAAATGCTTTTTTCCTTTCCCAGCCCTTTTCGCTACCTATTTGTCACATAACGTGACGTACACCTTAGTTGGCATGGAAGCAAAGATCGAACTCGCCGAGTTGTTAATGCTTGAGTAACTCCTCTAGACAAAGGACGTTATAAATTGTAACAACACAAATCTCAGGTAGAAGTTGGACACACTCACCAGTAGAGGCCACCCATCCTTACCAAGCAGGTAATGCGAGTGCTTCTTTAAATATCGCTAAATTGACGCATCATTAGACCGTCATTAGGGCCAATTTTTGAGACGCTCCTAAGTTGCAAAACATCATCGGAAATCTTTTTTCTGCTATTTATCTTCCAAATCCCATGGATTTCTTTCATGTAGACGATCTAGGACAGGTTAGTCCCCAGCTATTTGATAGGTAGCGGCTAGAAAGAAAGAAGCTGGTGAAAAGAGAGCACTTGCTTATTCTGTCCCATAGATGGATTCCTATAACGATCATTAGATCACTAACCAAAGCCCATTCCTACTTTAAGATGGGTATTAGGGCCCGCCGACACAGTTCCGTACACCAGTTCCATAGATATGAGTATCCTTCACCTGGAGAAGTGAACAAGTGATTTAACAAAAAAAAGTATGATGCTGATCGTGTTCCACAAATAAGAAGGAAATAATTCTGATAAACGAGATCTGATAGGTACGTTAAAGGTATGATATAACTGGTGGTGGTTCTAGGAGACCAACGAGAAGACAAATGGAGGTGATGCCTCTTGTTCAATTCCTGCACAGCTAGGCAATGGCCTTATTGACTGTCGAATTGTCCTTAACAGAAGAAGGTTGGCTTTAACAATTCTAAGCAACATCCTTAAAGCTGTGAACTGACTTCTTATCCAATACGACTCAAGAATAAGGTTAGTAGCAAACGAGTGAAAAGAATTACCATTGCCTTACATTAGTTTAGTGCGACGACTACGTTCCTGTGCATAATTTTCCCAATAGTCTGCGCGAAACCTTTCTTGGCAAATTAAGAACAGATTTACTCTAGCTGGCCCAAAAAGTACGGACAACACACCTTTGCTATGAAACCTTTTTATTGTTTCCGGAGCGGAAGCCACGGATAACTTGTGGAGCTTTCGATAGGATTAACATACTCTTAGGCCGCAAATAGCTTAGTGTTAGTGGTGGAGGTCATCATGAGCGCAGTGTTGGCTCAATCCCGCCCCAGGTTCACCCAATCTCTCATCCCTCTAGGGTTGGGAATTTGGTACTGGACTTATCCTGGAGAAAAGCTCCAGCCCGGCGATGTCAGGACCCCAAGGAGAATCAACTCGACCAGCAATCTGCGACATTCAAGATGATATAAAAATCCTCATGCAACAGCCGAAACCACACGTAAAAGTTGGGAAACCTCACTACAGAAATACAATTCGTAAAAAAAATAAGCGGCGAATAACGTTAGTGCTGGGATTGGTTGATGGCTACACGTTTCTTTATACGGAATGCTAAATATGCCTGTGAATTCATGCCAAATATTGGGCCTCGGTTTATCTTATAAGGTCTACCTTACACGCGCCCCTCCTGTTCACAAACAGGAGGGGCGCGTGCAGCGCACTTGTTAGAGACGCCCTGCAATACACATATGAGATCGATCCCGCACCCCAAACTCATCAAGCCTTCCATCGCTTGTCGGCAAATTGCTACTGGATTCGTCCGGAGGGATAGCAACACCGACTTTATAAATCGAGCCACTCCGAGTCATTGCATAGGCCAAGCAACTCGAGCCATTTCTCCTTTTTTGAGTTATAAAAGCCTGTGCTGAAACCTTTGTGTACAATGTGCGTTGGCACCTATAAGTCTCCAGAAAAGTGGAAGAAATTTTAACTGAAAAACTGATTAAACACAAACTAGACCCATAAGTCATATATGACTCATGCATCTTCAAATTACTACCTTGCACTTCGAACTACGATGCTTCAGCTCATATTGAACTTTATTAACAACTTCTATAATCTATAAATCTCTTCAGTAAGAGCAATCTTTTTCATTAGATCGAAAATGTATATCATTATACTAATTCAATTCTCATTTCCAGGTAACACATGAGATTTCGTCTAACAGGAACCGATAGTATTCTACAATGTCTCCTTAATGTCTGTGGCTGTACCGCTGGCTTTGAAAATTTCAGGGTTTAAAGTTCACAAATGATTTTATGAAAATTCCGTTTTAAAATTAAAAAGGTGTCCTACATAAAACTTGAGTACCCTCGGAGGTATGAGATAAAATATTCGTTATAAGTCATCAAGCTCCTCAATTACTGCAGTTATTGAGATGTTTTCGGCAGTTGTTGAAAATCGGCATCGCGATGTACGGGTTAAACGATGTCCGGATGTTTTTCATTTCGCTTTACGACAAACATCTCTAAATGAGAACAACTTGTAAATAAAAATAATAAGCTTACTTCTATGCAATCTCACCACAAATAAATACAATCAGAAATTCATACAACATTAAGAGAAAGTACAATGGCTTCAATTAGGCGACTTCCTCGCAGTGAGGACCACGATAGCCCAAATTGCACAGGCATGTCAGTGAATTTGTGGTGCCGAAGCAGATTCCCCGTCCATTACAATCTCTGGACGAGTCACACACTGCTAAAACTCAAAAATTTGCCATTTTTTCCTAATTTTCCATTCACCTGTATAACAAAAGGATTTCCACTTATCGCTTTGCCAGAGCCGCCCATGGGTTCCACTTAATCGAAAACAACAAAGAGCGCCACATTTAAGATACACATTATTTCCAATACTAGCTTATTTTATTACTATAACTAACTGCGAGACAAGCAAAACGATGTACCCGAAAGGTGTGGTGGTGAACGCGTTAGCCCCCGAAAAGCACAATAGTGCGTTCGTTTCCAACTGCAGGCACCTGCGGTCCGGAGTTTTGCAAATATCTCAGCAATGTTGCGGTTGTAATTCGCTTAATATCCTGCCGTAAAAATTGTAGTAGGCAGAAAATAAAGAGTAAAACATTGTCTTTTTTATATCGAAAATATGTTAGCCGGTTTGAAAGTGCAATTGGTCGAGAACACTTCTTATACAAAAACACTGCCGTTTTTTTGACGTCCAGTCGACTGATTTCTTCCTTAAATGGGATTTTTACCAGTAATTAAAGTTTGGTCTATCAGTAACGTTTTATGCAGTGAAGACTAATTTGATTAAAAAAAACCTACTTTCTTCGCAGTTCCTTCCCGTGTAACCTAGCACGCAGGCACAGACATAGGCTGCTTTCGTTCCCAAGCACGTACCTCGATTATTGCAGTCCTTTGCCTTACATGAGTTCAGATTCTACAAGAAAACCCCATATTTTACATTGGTATCAGCCAGAAACCGATCGATTGGCCTCAATCTATTCTTTGCCTAATTAGTATATTGCTGATTACCCCATGGGTGCGTGTGGCGCAGTGGTTGGAGGCGCCACTGCGACACACACGTGGAATCGATCCCCGCGCACATGGCCCACCAAGCCCTCCATCTCTCCGGAGTCGGCAAATTGGCACCAGACTTGTCTGGGAGGATAGTAGCACTGGCTCGATACATCGGTAGGTGACCGCGGGTCATTGTAAAGGCCAGATATGGATTCAATCACCTCCAATGATACTTTTGAAGTCGAATGCATAGCGCATACCTAAGGGATTGATCAACGCCGAGAGATTCATCTGTTATCCTTTTTACTGATTACCCTACCGACTAGCTTACTGCATATTACTGAAACTAACTGGCGTCCATTGATTTTTGTGGATCGGAAGGAGGTATGCTCCCTTGCGACTTGGTTTCTGCCTACATGATGGTAGCCTTTGGCATTAGTTTACTCTTAACTAAACTACCAAATAAAAACCCCGAGTTTCTTTACAGTTTCGTAGGACATGGTGGGCGATGAATTGTCCCGTCCATTCATTCATTTTCCACACCCAAAAAACTTGTCAGCAATAATGAATAGGTATTATTTTAAAAACAATTTTAAAAGCAATTCTTACAGAACCAAACAAGCCGTTACAAGCGCTTATCCTTCAAAGAAAGGATAATGCGGAGGTCTGATTCCCACTAATAAATATGAGAAAAAGTAAAAAATTGCTTTAAAAACCTCACCGCTCTCACATCTGATATTGCATTCGTCAACTTGTCTCTTGCTTCCACTACAGTACTGTTAAATTCCTGAACCTAAAAATCAGAGTTCCATGTAACGCATACTAAACGAGAAAAAATGAAAGGAATTAATTTCTTAGGTATTTGGTGGGATGTCTAGCCATTCACTTTTCCGCTTCTGTTTAGTACAAGTTCTTCGGTTCCCTATTACGTAACGAATTCTGAACCGGTTAGCGGTGAAGACAACGTGGCCCATTCCGAAATACCGTGGAAAAGGTCGACTATGGAACAAAAGCGACCATGAACTTATTGTGGGATGCCAGCGAGCCTTGAAGAAATGGACTCTGCCTCTTATTTGCGTCGAATTAACTTACATCGTCCACATTGAAAAGTCATGACAAGTCGTGCACCTAGTAGAATGCAATTTACAATTGTATTTAGGCGAATAACTTCGACGTCAACTAGTTCAAAGCCGAATACGGCATCAGTAACCATATCAAAACACTACAGTTGAACGCGAAGGGCTAGTTTTAGGCAGTCTTTGTCGAGGACAACAACGAATCGAAGGCCTCAACCAAAAACATTAATGTAATTCGATTGATTTATAGGCTAGCAAGAGGTTCTTACCAAACACTTAGTCGGCTAATATTTCGACATCTTCGCCATCTCTAGAGATGTTGGTCCGAGACGGCCAAGACAAACGACTGCGGACCATCTACTCGGACCATCGGATCTGAGGAAGACGAAGACGTCGAAATGTTAGCCGAGTAAATGTCTGATAAGAACCTTGTGTTAGCTTATCAATGAAACAAGACAAATTGGTCATTCATACTGAGGTTAGATGAAACTCGGTTTGCGGAAGGAAAAAATTAATGTTTTCTGAGTCCTTCAAGCAAGGGCAGGTTACACAATAGTGCTGTTGTGCAAAAGGGACGAATAGAGACTCCCGCATTGCCCATTACCCAATGAAGTAATTAAATCATTATAGGAATTACAAGACTATAAAATGATACATGTAGCACAGATAATTCACTAAAGCTTAAAGGCGTGGACCAAAGCCAGTGCTGTAATTTATCGTGAGCGGTTCCGATTCTGAACCTCTTCACCACCAATGATCACTACCTATGCTATGCACTTGAATACTCAGTTACTTACCGCTCTGTCCAGTTCCTTCTTCACCTCGTCGATGGTGTTCTCCTCGACCGATTCCGATGTGCCAGCTGGATTTCTTGCTGCCTCATGGTTTGTACTAACAGCTGTATCAACCTCATTTGTACTAACAGCTGTATCAGCCCAGCTAGTACTACTGGTCCTATCAGTACTATTCACCTAAACTTTTGCCCTTCATTTATAACGTATTTTATGACAATGCTTCAAGTTTTATTTACTGCCTATTACTTTTTTATAGCAGCGTATTATATGAAATACAACCACAATGATGTTGAGATATTTCCAATATGTTTTAATTTGACTTGTGATTATTTGACGATTGATGTTTTCGGTTTTCAAATCCTTAGGAAGTAATTCTCATTGTTGAAGTAATGAGAATTATTTGAAAACTTGAAGACAAAAGAATAAAAAGATACGAGTTTTCGGCGCTGATCAATTCCTGAGAGGTGCGCCATAGATTCGACTTCATTAAGCATCGCTGGAGATGATTGAACGCATATCTGGCCTTTACAATGACCGGCGGTGGCCTACCGATGCATCGAACCAGTGCTGCTATCCTCCCAGACAAGTCTGGTGCCAATTTGCCGACCTCGGAGGTGTGGAGGGCTTGGTGGGCCTGAGTCGCAGGGATCAATCCTATGTGTATTGCACGGCGCCTCTGACTATTGGTTAAATGCGCCCTGAAGAGAATTAAAGGATAAATAAGGGATAAAGCTCTCGGTGTTGATCAAACCCTGAGGGACGCGCCATGCACTCGACTTCATTAAGCACCGCTGGAGGTGATACAATAAGCGGCAGTGACCTGCCGATGTGTTGATCAACTGCTGCTATCCTCCCAAACCAGTATGGTACCAATTTGCCGCCCCGGAGGGGTGGAAGACTTGGTGGGCCATGGGCGCGGGGTTCGATTCCACGTGTGTGTTGCAGGGCGCCTCCGACCATTGCGCCACACGCGCTCTAAGGACAGCAGGAGAAAATGTTGATCAATTCAAAAATGGACATACCGCCTAGGTAAACTTTTAGAATTGGGGCAAGTCCTCATTTTTTCACATCTTTGTTTACCACAAAGCATCATTTTAGTTTCACTTTCATGGAGAAAAAACGTCTCATTTTGTAAAAAAAAAAAAAGAGATAAACATAGCTCTTAACTCTCGCGACTCCAACTCGCGAACGGGGCACCATCATTCTTCGACACCATCTCTGATTATCGAGTGCGCCTGTGGCGCAGTGGTCTGTAATGCCCTGCAATACACGTGGAAACGATCCTTGCGCCCCAGGCTCACCAAGCCCTCCATGGATCGGCATATTGGTACCAGACTTGTCTAGGAAGATAGCAGCAGTGGCTCAACACATCGACAGGCCGCCGCGAGTCATTGTAAAGGCCAGATATGCAATCAATCACCTCCAACGATGCTTAATGAAGTCGAATGCGTGGCGCATCCCTCAGAGATTGATCAGCGTAGAAAGCTTTATGCTTCTTTCCCCTTGATTATTAAGCAGACACAAGACTGATAAAAAGGTTTATGCGGTTAGCACTGCGACATCTTCCTCTTCTACAGAGCCGGATTGGTTCGAGTCGATGATCTACAGCTGATCGATATCGCGACGTGGTTGTTATTGAGTTCGACTCGATATCGGACGTTAGCCGACTAATTTTTTTTTATCAACCTCGTGTTAGTCCAACAATGAGAGAACGTACACCGATCATTCATACCGAGTGTAAGGGTTGTTTTGCTTGTGAAAAAGTTGTACATTGTGACTTCCACTGCAGCCTCACCTTAACTGGGTTCAACGCCTATTTGTGCTCCCCAGATCAATCCCGTTGATGGCTGATTGCTGATGGCGCCATTAGGCAGAAAACTGAGAGGTGAGAAAGCCATTAGCTGAGAAAAAAGGAAATCATAGGCCTCGGTAGTGCAGTGGGTAACACGTGAGCTCCCGGAAAAGGTTCCTTGCGGGTTCCATTCTGACTAAGAGTCCAAGTTTTGCGAATATCTCAGCATCATTGTTATTGCATTTCACATAATGTCTTACCGTGGAAAAAAGTTACAGTAGGCAGTAAATGGAAGATCAGCATTATCTTTTTCAGTTTTAAATATTTGAAAACTTGACTTTCCCATCGGTTAATAGAAATGCTCGAGTTAGATTTCGTAAATCTGGTAAATTTCTTCCCTTATCACTTGGAAAAAAAGAAAATGACTTTTCATAAAAATTAGGCTGAGAGAAAGGCAAAGGAAGGGCCTCAGTGTTGCCGTTAGTAACATGTGAACGCACGGAAAAGGTAATCGTGGTTCCATCAGGTCTGAGGTCCAAGTTTTGCAAATATCTGAGGGCTGTAATTCACATCAGGCCATACCGTGAAAAATAATGACAGACAGTAAATAAGAAGTTATAAAAGGATAAAGGAAGGACAAAGCTCTAGGCGTTGATCAATCCCTGAGGGATGCTCCATGCATTCGACTTCATAAGTATCGTTGGAGGTGATTGAATGCATATCTGGCCTTTACAATTACTCGCAGTGGCCTACCGATGTATCGAGCCAGTGCTGTTATCCTCTCCGATAAGTCTGGTACTAATTTGCCTAGTTCGGAGGAATGGAAGGATTGGTGGGGATTGGCGCGGGCATCGATTCCACGTGTGTGTCACAGGGACGCCTCTACCCACTGCGTCACACGCGCTCTAATAAGAAGTTGACGTTGTACACTCTTGTCATTTGTACATTTTTCGAAACTTTCTGAGGAAAATTTCGTCAGGAATAGAACAGGCATTAAGATAACTGAAGGTTCTTCTTTCTCAAGGCTAATAAATTTCTTTACTTCACACGAAGCACGCTTGTTTGATATGTATCCTCGTTGCTGGCCGCGAAGTGACCTGATGCGTTTCCAGGTAAGTGGGAAACAGATATTCAGATGGTGGGACACCAACCGACTAGCACCGTTGGTACACGGAGTTTTACTAATATCTCTGAGCGCAGATCTTCGAATAGAGAGATTGTGTTCTATATGTCGCTTCAACCAAATCTTACAGCAAAGTAACTACTCATTGCATCAGAATCAGTTCTCCTTCAATAAATAAACATATCGTCTACTTCAAAACTTTAAAAGACTCCTACTCGTGCAATTATCCAGCTCAAGTGACGTGTCTCGAATTACTCGCGGATACGGTTTCACTAAAACAATAGACATAAAACACATTATACGAGGGTGCTATGTTCGTCGTAACCTTCTAGTTAGCGGAGCGCAATGGACCACTTTGGGGTGTAGTGGAACGAACAGAGGGTTTAAGGGCGAATACTTTCCTCTTAGACGTCGCAATATACTGATTATCGTGGTGCAAAAGTTCAAAGAAAGTTCAAAACAAACACAAGGATACAGATATATGAGCAAAACTACGAGCCATAACTGGGTTTCGAACCTGCGATTACCCTTTTCGGGGCACGTGTGCTATCCACTATACCAACTTAGGCTTTGCTTTGCCTTTCTCTCAATTGGTTCTCTCCTATGACAGTGCTACAAGCAATATCCGTCGAAGGGAGTGTTATGGGAAGCACAAATCGGTATTGAACCCAGCTAAGTCAAAGGTGTAGTCGGAATCACAATATTCTAACTTCTACTTTCTGCCAAACACGTCAGCTCCCTGTAAGGATAATAGCTGGTTCCAAACTCTCCTGAAGTTCCGAGTTTTGCTGATGTCTAAGCATCCTTGTAACTGCATTTCGCATCACATCCTACCACGAAAAAAGAGTCGGCAGTTAGAAAAAGCTAAAGCATTGCTCGAAACTATTTGTTTTCTCCTTTACATGTTATTTGGACAGATTCAGCAACGTGATTTCAAAAGTTATAGAGCAATTCCTTATGAAACTTATGACGTCACGCCAACGATATTT